ACCCTAATCTTCTCCAGAAATGCTTCTTTTGAATATAACACGGCAACCGGGCTGTTCTGCTCATAAATGGCATCTAAGAGCTGGTCCCTCTCAATAGATTTAGGTACCAAGATAATCTTGATTAGTGGGCGCCTCTTTTTCGGGATAACCGAACGTAAACCGGATACCTCAGAAATAGCATTACATAAAATTCCCACATCTGCTCTACACCCCAAATCAACAGCAATCCCTCCTTTTTGAATACGGCGTATTCTCTGAACACCTATATTTAAGCTATGCGGATTGATTCCAGATGTTAGGATCTTTCTGGTAAGCTCAGAATCGTTAGACTCGGGGTTACTGTACACCAGTACAGTGTGACAAGACCTGGAGGGCACCGAAACCGAATCCAAGGGTAGAGCAGGACGCTTAACAGCGTCACTATAAAGCCCGGGCGTCCTGGACACCACTGGCCTTGAAGCCGGCGCAACCTGCTGCACTCCACGAACGGCCTCCAACACCTCAGAGATAACCGCGTCCGTTCTCTCTGCATGTGCAGCAAATGCATCAGTGAGGTCACCAACCACCGACCCCGACGCTGGAACATCCTGCTGCAATCCACGAACGGCCTCCAACACCTCAGAGATAACTGCCTCAGTTCTCTCTGCATGTGCATCAAACGCGCCAGCGAGATCACCCTTGGTGATAAGTGAATCCAACCGAGTGCCAATGGAATCGGGAACAGAACAAGTTGATACTGTGGAACTCGCTAGATCAATCAATCGCTGGAACTGGGCAGTTATAAACCGCGAATGGGCTCCTGAGCCCAACTTCCTATTGCTATTTTTAGCAAGGTAACCCTTAAGCTCATCGAGGAGCTTAAACGCCTCGTCAAGAAAGTTTGATGAACTGCACGTCGCCATCGGTCACCCGCAAAACTACTATATAACGCGAGCTACCCTGATATTGATTAATTTAAGACTGTAGTCTTGGAGCGAAAACACAACACATATGAGAACTCAACTAATAAATTACAAAAATGCACTCTTATGTGCAAAACTAGCTTAACTTAACTATACAAAAAAGAAAGAAAGAAAATTGAACGAAAAATAACGTTAAAAAACCGTTAAGATTTAAAGCGAGACCGTTATAAAGAACGTTAAACAGTTCTAACGATCGTTTTAGATTTGAAAATTCCCCATAGAAGCTTATATAAAAACCTAAAAATCGCCTCTCTATATAATATCCTAACCCCCCACATTAGGGGCAACTAAAGGAAGCATAGCCGAAAAAACCCCTGGTGCCGCCCCCAAAAATCCTCTCCACTAGCTAGAAACGATCGAAAACCAAGGACTTTGAAACTAATTTATTCCCCCTGATTAAACTATTGAGACAAAAAGTATATTGAACGAACCGGGCTGACGTACTGGACAAAATGGTACTCCACAAGTTCGTGGTAATCCAAAAAAAATGGCGGAAATAATGGCGCTGGAGCTTGCACAGATAGCGGTCGCTCACTCACACTCTCGACAACGAAGTGATAAAATTCCATTTTTTTAACAATATCCCATGAGTCAGTGTGCGACGTGAACGTGTGGAGCAACGTGTTTTACTTCAAGTTCAAACGTCAAACATGTATTTCTGCTTGCCGTACAAATTTAACGTTTGAACTTCGGGCGCAACCTCTCTACAGTCTCGTTCCAAAGATGGCTTCGCCGTTTTGCTTGTTTAATGTTTTGATCGTTTTTGTAAAAGTGTGTTTATTTCTACAGAAACATCACATTTAAACTGAATTCTGTATTAATTTAATAATATGCTATGTTCAACAGATGGTTACGCCGTTCTGGAAGACTGGATTCCATACCTCATTACTGGATGGTCTTATACCCCCTATAATGGGTCTAGATCAGTGGTTCTTAACCTGTGGTCCGTGGACCACTGGTGGTCCCTGAAAGCATCCGAAGTGGTCCACGAAAGTTATCCCAAAATTATTAAATAAATGACGACGCGTTGATGACAATGCGCAGTACGTCAAGGTTAGAGCCGATAGCGAACTGGGCTGGGGTATGGTGCGCGGTCAGAAAATATGAAATCTGGAAATCACTAGCAATAAATTTGCATTTGAAGATAAAATCAGTGCGTTTATCGCTAAAATCGACCTATGGATCAGCAAAGTCAAAAGAGAAAAATTTTCTGCGTTTGATACATTGAACCCAATTATTGATTGACAGTGTGCTGAGATTAAAGGACAAATACAAAAGAACATTACATTCCATTTGCAAAGCTTGAAAAATGAATTCAATCGCTATTTTCCTGACTGCAAGGACAAAGGTATTCGGAAACTGATTTGCAATCCTTTCATAGTCAACATTTCTGAGGTGCCGGATGAAATACAAGAAGAGTTAATTGAAATGCAACATGATAGTAACTGCAAGGATACATTCGAGACAGGAATTAATCTTAAAGATTTTTGGAGCCAAAAAGCTATTGCTTTCCCTAAAATTCGAGAAATTGCTTTACAGTGCCTAACTTTATTTTCAACCACATATTTATGCGAGCAAGGATTCTCAGTGCTTTTGATAATTAAAAATAAACATCGAAATCGGTTGGATGCCAGTGCCGACATGCATTTCCTTTGAGTAGCACTGAACCAAGAATTCAGCAGTTGGTAAACAGTATGCAGTCACAAAAATCACACTAAAATAATGTAATTAATGTAACACTTTCACAAATAATATAATACTCTTGGTTCCGAATAATTTTCTACGTGTTTAATTTATAGAACAACCTTATAAGAACCTATATTACTGCCAAACAGCTCGTGGTCCATAGACAAAAATTTTGATAAATGGTTCCTCATCACTAAAAGGTTAAGAACCTCTAGATTGAATTCATGATGACCGGAAAAATCCTTATTAGAGCCCGCAGGAAGGAAAAAGTTAAACTGAAGTAATAATTATCATTAATTTTTACATTATACTATTTTATATATGACGATAGTCTTACGTGAAATTTTTGTTTATTTATACTTAATGAATATTTATACGAAAAGAAACATTTAGTTTTAAAATCGTTTTTTGCTGCATTATCAATGCAAATTTTGCTCATACGTTCCAAAGTTCTAGGCTCAATGTATTACGTGAAACTTAGAAGTTAAATTCATAATTTTAAATAAAATAAAATTTAAAAATTAGGATTTACTTATTTTTACATATAAGTAGAAAAGTCCCGAAAGACATTTGATATATGTCCCCCAAATTAACAAGTGTACTAACATAAATATAACAAAATAAAGGAAAAACGATAATTAAATAAAATTAAAATTAAAAATTGTATAACGCGTTCTTTACGTTTTAATTTAAAACAAGAAAAATTAATATATAATAAAATCATGAAAATTGTTTAAATTTTGAGAAATATGACTTTAAAAAAGTCCTTTGAGACACATTGAAACGAGATAAATGGATTGAACCCGCATGGTTTTTTTGCACGAACATGTACCAGTACAAATAGCCGATTATAATAAATAAAATCATTTAAAAATTTAAAATAACGCAAGTCATCGAAATATTTGATACTCTCAAAAAACGAAGGAAAACCTGATCTAATCTGTGCAAATTTGGCATTCTGAGTGTGTGGTAAATTCATAATTTATTAAAGGATAAATAAACTTTTTCAAAAGCGCTAGCAATTCCATCTAAAAGGAAGGCGCAGAAATAGACCAGGTGAGTAATCCATAATCTACACAAGACCGAAAATTAGTATAAAAACATAGCCATTAATGCATTTTGAGATAAGTTTACAAAATCATCATAATATTCCAGTCTAATATTCAGAGATTTAACTATTTTATCGATATGATTTTTTAAAGTGAGTTTTACTTTCAAAAATTATTCCGAGATCGTTGAACAACGTAACAATTAATAGATGTAGAGTCAATGGAAAAAAGTACGTAAGCCTAAGGGAGAATTGAGAATTAAAGCAAAACATATAACTACAGCTTTGTGTATATTAATCATCAGGTTAGCAGAATCAAATAGATATTTTAGCAAACAAATATCAAACTGTAGGATCTTCGATCGAAACTTATCAATAGTATCGTCAGCATAAGCTACAACATGAGATTTAAGATGGCTAAGAAGATTATTTATATATTATATGAATAATTTTTTCAATACATTATATTGAAAAAAGGCCACTGAGAATAGATCTTTGTTGAACACCACATAAAATCTAAAATCGAGAAAGAAATTTGATTTTAAACCGGACCCACCACTGGCCAAGTGGTTCCGTTCCCTAAACACTAGAAGTTCGGTGGTGGGTTCGCGCCTCTCCAGGGCCCTTAGTCTCGAGTTTTTCGTGTTGTACTCGAACTGACGTCATCGAACTCACTCGTGTTACTATGACTCACATAATCGGTAGTCTCGAGTTAGACCCTTCGAGTGAACTCGAAAGGCGAGCGGAAGTAGGTCATATTCACTTGTTTACGTTTGTCGATAAGCATGATGGGATTATTTACAATGCATCTGGGTTTGCGACTATAATGATTCGACCAATCAACTTAACGGTAACAAGTTGTAAACAAATCAACGCGAATTAGTTTATACATGCTACAGTTAAAAGTTGTCTTGTGGCAACATAGTACGCAGAAACAGAATGAAAACCTCTAATGTTTTATTTTAAAAAATAAATAGAAATATTAGTAACATATAAATATTAGTAACATATATAGAAAATAATGAACAGAGGAAAATTCGACAACGAATTTACAAGAAAAAGACAATTCGCTTTGTGGAGAGAATTACAGTACTTGAAAAATTAATTGCGTGTGTTGAACCTAAAAAATCCGTTATGTAATGGAAAATGTATTTAAACTTAATCCTTTCTTCATATAGTTTTCTTNTATAAAACTTCAATTTTTAAAAAACAAGCCAATAATGACTATAAAATTTTCAAAAACAGAGTTTAAAAAGATATAAAAAAGAAAATAATCTGCATAATATATAAAAAATAATATTTCGATGGGCTCCGTAATAGGACCGAAATTAGCAGAAATTTATATGCTGGATGTGGACATGATTCTTTCAACATTAAATGGAGTTATGTTTTTTGCAAGGTACGTCGATGATATTTTAATAGTGTACGATAGTACACTAACAACAAACTTACAAATTTTGGAACAAGCTAATAAAATTAATTTGAATATTAAATTTACTCAAGAGCATGAATTAAATAATCAATTAAGTTATTTAGATATAACAATTAAAAGATTTGAAGATCATTTGGAATACTGTAAATTTGAAAAACCGTGTAATACGAGAAAAGTAATTAATTATAGATCATACTGTCCTTTAAATCAAAAATATAATGTATACCTGATGGAAATAACAAAGATTTTTTCTAGAACAACAAATATAGATAAAAGAAAAGAAGAAATTGAAGATACACATAAGAAATACATCTTAAATGGATATCCAAAAAGATTACTAAATGATTGGTTCCACAGATTTTTAAGAAACAGGTTTAAAGTTAAACGTTGTCAAGAAATAATAAAGTATGTATCATTTCCGTATATAAAAGGTATTTATGAAAAATATAATAACTTCTTTAATCATAAATTAATTAGATTGGCTCCATCTTTAAATAACAGGTTATCAAATATGATGATCATCAGAAATAATGCTAAAGATATATTAGAAGAAGAAGGTGTTGTTTATCGGATAGAATGAACGTGTAACAATCCTAGTTTTTACGTCGGTGAAACAAAACGAAGATTAAGGATCAGACTGTCGGAACATTTGGCTGCCGTAAGGTTGAAAATGAGTAATTCTCCTGTCTTCCAACATTGTAATAGTAATAATTGTCAGATTAATATTAATAAATTAAAAATAATTTTTAAGGAAAAAAATATTGTAAAGCGAAAGGTAAAAGAACACTTCGCTATAATTATGCAAAACAATAATGTTAATTTAAATACCGGAATGTTAACAGCGGCATGCTGGGAGTTTTTTGTTAACTGTATAAGTGGCTCTTCAATGAGTTGACTGTTTGAACGTAGATTTTGTGCTGTAAGCCCCACTGAAGAGGCCATAGGCGAAATGCATTTGGGAAGCTTGTTAGTAATGATGTAAATAAAAGTTATTTTCTCTCTGCAGATTATTTTCTTTTTTATACCTTTTTAAACTCTGTTTTTGAAAATTTTATAGTCATTATTGGCTTGTTTTTTAAAAATTGAAGTTTTATATTATCCAAAAGTCAGAAAGGAAAGAAAAATATAATTTTTTCGTAATTTTACATTTTATGTAAGAAAACAAAAGAAGAAATTTTCTGACTCCATTGAATTTTTATAACCTTTTTTTGTAAAATGTGTAACTTAAACACTTATTACTTTGGGTAACCCGGGCGAAATGGGGTAGCTAACGAAGAAGTTAAAATTATGTCAACAATAAAAGAAAAATAACAAAAATATTATATTATATCCTTTATTTATTGTATTTGACACATAATTATTTAAATTACATAAAAAAATAAATCATTAAAAAGAAAAGCTTGCCCACATTTCATTTCACCCCGCACTCGGGCAGAATGGGGTATGAGATTAGTGCTCAAATGTTAGAAATATATATATATGTCTTGTTGCTTACAAAACTCTCAAACCAGCATGGAACCGCATCGTCGCTGTCAAAACCCACACAAGACATATGAGCCCATTTTTTACATGCATGAACATTAGGCTAACCCTCAATCGATTGTGAGTAAGCCTCAGTGCAGTAAACGCAAGTCGTATCACCATCTCCTTCCGAGTAATTGTCCCCTTGTTCTTTTTTTTCACTAGACTTTGTTTTTTTCCTTTACCTTTTCTTTTTATTTTTCCTTTACGGGAAATCATCCCATTGTGTCTTACACGTTGTGCCCCAAAGCACATGCTTCTAAAAATCAAGTAGAGAGAAAGTTTATGATTACTTTTTCGTTATTTCATTCTAAAAATACAAACAAACAAATCTTTAATAAACTAGACTATATAAATTTAGTTAAATTATAAAATATACCATATACTTTCATTGTTTTAATGTTGATACACTTGTACTGTACTTTCATCAAAAAATCACGACGCAAGGTTTTATTGGTCAATGACAAAGCGAATCTCGGTAACCAAGTATTCACACTGACGTGTTGTCGCAGTCTAAGTGTAAGACAGGGAGCAAACCAATTCCCTCATCTCTCTTTCATTTGTAAATCGTCTTTCCCATTCCGCCCCAGTTCTCCTATAATTATTATTATTAATTCTTAAATAATTCATCTGGTATTGTTTGTAGGTCGTCTTAACGGCAATATAGGGCACTGGGCAAAGTAATATATTGGCCCTTGCCTATACAACCGGCGGGTGAGCGGAAAATTAGTGTTACATTTTGGTCTTAGTATAAATTAGCGTGGGATCCCGGCCTAGTGTGCCTAAGTGTTAAGACGACACTGATTGTTTGTCTATCTACCAATGTTAATAACAGATAGTGTAAAGAAGCAATTTAAACTAATGTTTTTTTTAGGTAAATAACGATTAATTTAATGTTTTTGATAAAAATCCATGACCAAAACTTACAACGATTTCATGTTATCGATCACTCTTGAGACTGCTGACACAGAAGAAAAACACAAAAATGCCTATTTATCCGAAAATAATGATAATAATATCGAATTCTGATTAGAGTAAGAGAAGCCTACTGCATTTTTGTCCTATATCTGTATAATTTCTGTAAATAAATTGGGTCTGAAGTCTCAAAGTGCTTAACACGGCTTTATATGTAGGCCTATACAATATAATCTTATGTATATGAACTATCTTGATTAATTTTTTTTTGTCTCACTTGTCAGTTATCATATTGCCATGTCTTAAGCAATGAACTTTTGAAATAATTTTATTGTTGCATATCATAACTAATAGGCTAACTAGTGAACAGTTATGAACAGTTATGCATTTAATTACAAGTACTTCCAACCAAAAATTTATTGTTGTAAGTATTTGAATAAATTTAAAATATTACATTAGGTGAGACATGAATATTACTAAATTGGTCAATCAATCTATCTATTCTATAATTATTACTTACAGTTTTTTCACACGCTTCGAATTTATATTTACTTAAAAGACGTGTAAATGTTTGTCTTAGGACAAGAAGACCAAATCTCATTCCAACGCAGTTTCTAGAACCATATCCAAAACCTTGAAAGGTTATAGGGTTTATCTCTCGTTTATTCTCTGGTGAAAATCTAAAAAATATTTAATAACATATTATTAAAGTAATGAATTCATTATAAAATGTATTATAATGACAATTTAGTTACCGATCAGGATTAACACTTTCAGGATCCTTCCAATATTCAGGATCGTGATGCAGTTGATAGGCAGCCACTTGTATGACCAAATTCTTTGGTAAAATTATTGAATTCCATTTAATTTCTCCTGTCACTTTTCGATTTATTAAACTGTACATAGAATCACAAATAAAAATTAATTAAATATTATCATTTAAACGTTTTTATTTAATAAAAAAATTGTTCATAAAACTAGAGATAAAGTCCCAGAAATCCCACTTTCTGAAAATTGATTAAAAGACAAGAATGGGGATGTTCCGATACCAGAAAAGTATCGATACCAGCCATTATCAATATTGGGTATAGAAACTGCAAATCTCGGTGGCTGTAGCTGCTCAGTCTATCTCGTCGCCTTCCAGTTGTTTTTACTGTTGAGAAGATACACCTATCCCTATTTTTGCGCGGTGGATACGTTACAAAGAACGCCCTGTAAAAAATATCAGGTAAAAATGTACATTATATGCATCCTGTATGAAAATGTTTGATTGGATCCACAACTTCAATGGCACGAAAAAATAAGCAATTTACAAAATAAACACGACCTTCTTTATTCTAACATCATTTGCCATTATTTTATTTATACATAAATATAGTAAACGCAACGTAGAATAGGAAACATAAAATCGACATACAGCATTCTCTGATATACAGTAAAAAATAGTACTGTACTGTGCTTAAAAAAGAAAAACTTAACTATTGATTTCAACAATTTTAACGAAAAGTTAAATTTAAAAATATTCAAATATACTGTTTTTCCCCGTGTAAAAGATCGCGTTAAAAGAGGGATAGGTGTACTATGCTCATTACAATGAACTGGAGCCCCCGAGCAGAATTTAATATTTTCTGCTTACCCAAGAGAACTGAATTCTGAGTATCTAGATCAGAAGTCAGTGTGTCAGTCAGTACTTCAGTTTGTACTTGTATGATTTCTTACGTACACAGAAGAAGCCCCAAATCTACAGTCCTGTTATCTGGCTCTGTGGGTATTACTATACATTCAATAGGGGTACATAAAAAGTCATTGGTGAAAAGGTAAAACAGTGTCTTTACATTGAAAGTTCTTAATTGTGTTCAAATTTTACAAATATCAGTGCAAACAAGTATATAGAAGTTATCACTCATTTTAAACATCACTGAGGATCCAAGTTTATTAACAAACAAATGTACTGCATAATGGTTAACAGAATATTTATTTCTAAATAGTAATCAGAGCACTTAGCATGTATAGATTCTGGAAATAAAAATTAACGTAATACATTCAGTTTTTGATCATTAGTATTTTTCATATAAGTTTATCGTAACAGAAAATAGTATAAAATTCATTTAAGTTTCTATTCGACAGCATAATCCGGTTTCGTTGCAGATTTTACCTGTCTGTAAAAAATGTAACTATACCAGATCCGATATCCAAAGTAAAGTATCGATATCGGAACAAAAGTATCGAGTAAAAAAGTACTCGGTATTGAAGGAAAGTATTAATACTGGATCGGTATCGGAAGTATCGGGACGTCCCTAGACAAGAATAGGAAAATAATAATCACGCTTGCATGTTAGATTAAGTGACATATTAGTTTAATATGGGAATTTTTATTGGAAATGACATAGTATATTTGGATGGATATAAAGGATTAGGGCCTATATTTGTGCTATTTTATTTAATATATTAAAAGTACTGAAATATAGGCCTACATTTCTAAATAATTCGTAATAACAATAACCAACCTATAACAATTTTCGTAAGTAATAAATTACGCATTTTGCTAGAAATAATATTAACAAGATGAGTCGTAATGACAAATACAAACCATTAGAAATTTACAACATTATGAATTATATATACAATATATATATTGTATATATAATTTATATATATATATATATATATATAAAATTAAGCAACATGTCTACATTTTTTCTTTTTTTCTTATTTGCTTGTTTTTGCCTACTTTCAGATCAAGTATTTTGATATACTGTAGAAGTAAAACCGGGTGAGATACCTAGTCGTCGAGAGAAATGACTTGAGGTTGTTTATGAATATTCAATAGAACAAATCACTAGTCACTTTAGTGGTGACTAAGCTTAACGATTTTGTGTTTCATTATTTTTCGAATGTTCGTTTTGTCAATTTTTTGGTTAAAAAATAAGTTTGTGTTCATCATCGCTCTATAAATGTTTTTGCGACATTCATGTTTATACGAAATGTTCCGAAATTGTAACATGCTTACGTGATATTTCTGTTTCATGTGAAAATAAAATCGTGTTGTAGTCGAAGCCAGAGGTCCTCCTAGTAATTTTAGTCTAAAATATAGAAATAGCATATCTCCGATAGGATTTGGATGAGATGCCTAGTTAATTTAAGGAAAAGGTGCATACTTTTCTGAAATATTTTATTATAAACTTAATTAAATTTAACAATTTTAGATGCCTTCTGAATATAAAAGAAGGGAAATTGGTCCCAATAGAGGAAAAGAGCCAAAAAGAACTTAGTTCTTTCTGTGAAAGTACTGTAAATACTAATTGTCTGAATTACTATCAAGCAAGCAAAGAGTTTAACATTTCTTATCGTGCTTTTCGCAGAAGACCTAAAGACAGTAATTTAGCAAAGCAAGCTTTTGAATTAAATTCAATGTTAAGTACCCAAAAAAATGTTTATCATATAATTGTCATAAAAACGAGACAAGTAAAGCCGATTGAATTCGATGAGCAATGTTCAGAAAATGAAAGCACATGAGAATGTAATACATAACGGACAAGTGTGATTTCGTTGCTACCATTCTGTTATATTGAGTTTTCATTTAACGTTGTTCACTTTTGTTAAAAAATAACCGTGGCTGTATATGCATTATATATTTAGTTCTTCTGGAAATCACAATTAAGGGAGTTATATGTATTGAGAAAACCTATAGGCATCTCACCCGGTTCCTATAAACGTAAAGTAAAAAATGCTTTTGAACCAATATTCTCATTTACATCATTTGAACATTGTGTATAGTTAATGAAAATTTCTGATTATTTATCTGCATTAAAATTCATTAAAACAAATTTAAAACATTTTATAACATTGAAACTTACAGTCTGACTATGGTGTAATACCGCAGAGTTTCATAAATGACTTGATCGAGATAAGGAACTCCATTTAAGAATGAATTTCTTACTTCTTCCTATAATATTAATATTTTAAAACGCAATGTAAATATTACTGTAAGTTAAATAAAACTTTAAAATTATATTTTATAATTTTAATTACATTTAAGATTTAATAAGACGATATTAATAAATAACATACAAAGAATTGAGAATTATCAAATTATCTCAAAAATCTGTAAATGTTCTGGTACTTTTCATAGTTATTATACCTCCGAGTATATTGTATACTTTAATAAATGGGAACAGATCTCTTTATATAGTAGATTTATCAACCGAATTGTTAACATTTTACAATATACAGACTTTCTTGAATATTTGATTCTTTGCACCCTGCAGGCACTGATGACCTTTGTTTACTGCACGCCTGATGGCCTCGTGATCTAGTGTTTTNGGTGAGATGGGAAAGCACGTGAGTTAGAACTCGAGACTACCAATTTGACGTCAGTGTGTGAGAAGGTACCACGTGACACCTTCAACACGTTGGGAGTTGTAACACGAAAAACTCGAGACTAAGGCCCCAGGACGGGCTGGCCACGTGGAGTTTTCCGTGATTTTCTCCACGTCTGTAACGCCTCAATAGAGGCCAGTTATCCTTAAAAAGACCTCCCGGAAGGCATCTCTAGGCATATCGCCCAAGTGTTGCGTTGCCAAGTTTTCTAAACTGTTTTAATTACGAAAAATTTAAATCAATTCTCTGTAATATGACATCTATGTGGCATAATTGACTTTATTTACTATAATATTTTATTTAAGCAACTAGATACACTTACTGACTAGGGATGCTCCGATACTGTCAATACCGATACCGTATCGATACTTTGTTCGAGTATTGGATCTGGTAGCGTTACATTTTTTACAAACAAGTAAAAAATGTAATGTTTTTACCCGAAACTGGATTTTGCAGCCGAATCAAAACCGAAATGAAATTTTACACTGTAATCGGTTAAGTTAAACTTATATAAAATATATTAATGACCAAAAGTCAATAAAATGCATTACGTCAAATTTTATTTTCAGAATCTATATATCTTTACAGTTCTGATTACTATTTAGAAATAAATATTCAGTTAACCATTATGCAATACTTTTGTGTGTTAATTAATATGGATCCTCAGTGATGTTTAAAATGAGCGATAACTTGTATATACTGTACTTGTTTGCACTGATATTTGTAAAATGTGAACACAATTAAGAACTTTCAATGCAACACACTATTTACCTCTTCACCAGTAATTTCTTATTCATGCCTATCCCATATATAGTAGAACCCACAGAGCCCATTAACAGAACTGTAGATCTGTGGCTTCTTTTGTGTGCATAAGACATCATACGAGTGTAAACTGAAATACTGACTGACGCATTGACTTCTAAACCAAATAGCAGGGATTCAATACCCTGGAATAAGCAATAAAATATTAATTACTGCTCTAAGACCCACTAACCTTCACTGTAATGAGTATACTACACTCTGTTTTTACGCGGTCCATTTTACGCGATTTTAAAATAACACGGTCGACAAAAGAAAACTAATCCTGTTTTTACACGATTAATTTTTTACACGGGAAAAAAGTTTATTTAAATATTTTTAAATTTAACTTTTCGTTAAAATTGTTGAAATCAATAGTTAGTTTTTCGTTTTTTATGTATGTTTTATAATAAACAGTTGCTTTATAAAATTGGAATTTTTAAACAACAATTCTGGTATAATTTCAGAAAATGACTTATTTATTTTGTTTTTGATACATGTGTCATTTTATAAATCTGAAATTTACATTTATTTACCTAAAAATAAAATAATAATTGATATAACATGGCATATTTTATGTATTTTCGTTATATACCTTTTGATATATTAAAAATACAAATAAAAATCTGAGTTTTTATATGTTTAAGAGTGTTTAAAATAAAAAAAAGTATAAATTTACATATTTATATTTTTCGATTGTTAAAGTAAATTATATACTTTGAAATGTATTAAACTCCAAACTCTCCTATGATTGTTACTTTTATATCTGATCATACAGGAACAACTCTTAAAATTAATTCATTCTCGACCTTCAATGCAACATGTTCATTACCTTCTATTAACTCCTCCTGAAAAGAAATAATTTACATATATTCACAGTTATTACATTGTCTAATGTACAGTATATAGGATTAGAAACAACATACATAATAATATAAATTTATGGTATAATTTTCAACGCAATATTATCAATTCCAATAATGATTACAAAATTAAATAGTGCTTTCTTCTCAAATATTGATAGATAAAGTAAAAAAATATTAGTTATTTTAAAATTAATTCATCTTTAATTTGAAGCTTCTGAGTTTAAGATTCTTTTACATGAATGAGCAAGACATACCAGGCCAATAGCCGAGTGCTTCACGTTTTTAGAAGCCTTCTCTTACTACTGATTACTAACATAGGAAAATCTGTTTATTGTATTACATTCAAATTCGTCTAAATTGATGATAATAACCGACTGATAACATTATGCAACGTAAATATATAGTGACGGGCCTGGCCAACCTGCGGCCCGTCACATTAAATTGTGTGGCCCGCTAAGCGATGTTATATATATATTAAAACTTTCGTTTTTCGTTTCCAAAACAATTAAATAAATGAAAATTTTCATGTGTCATTGTTATAATGCGCAAGTGCGAGTACGAACTCTTGGTATAACAATGAAATTTTATTCATTTTGTATTTGTTTTACTTTTTTAAAAGCATGTTTGCCTAAATTGTGGCCCATTGTAACGTTACGTGTGATCAAAGTGGCCCGCGAACAATTTGGGTTGGCCAGGCTTGTATAAGACTATGAGTAGAGGAAATTCCGATTTCACTGACTCTAATATTAAAAGCATACATTGAACAATGTAAAATGTGTACTTTTGTTTTCTTACATAAAATGTAAAATTACGAAAAAATTATATTTTTCTTTCCTTTCTGACTTTTGGATAATATAAAACTTCAATTTTTNGAATCATAGACAGACGAAAAGTGTAAAAATCCATAATGAATACCATATAAATATAAAGCAGATAATTATTAATAATTTCTATAATAATACACAAATTTATAATAATTTGTGTATTATTATAGAATACACAAATTATTATAAATTTGATAATAATTTATCAAATTATCATATTTGATAAATTATTATCAAATATAATAATTTTTATCAAAAATTATTATATTTGATAATAATATCAAATATAATAATTTGATATTATTATATTTGATATAATAATATGGTATAATATATTTGATATATAATACCATATATTTGATATGGTAGTTAATGCAACAATCATTAACAAGTCTTGTGGATTGTTAATGGTTGTTGCAAAGTATAGACTGACTAGAAATTGTAGGGGTTTAAATTCGAATGGGTAGTTTGTCAGGATTAATGGTAAGCTGTTAAATGATAAACCTGTCCTTGAATTTCGAACGTTGAAATGAAACTTTTTTCAAGTATTTCAGTGGCACCAAAACTTATCATTTGGAAGGCACTATTGTAAGCTCTAATGTTCATTAAGAAATTTTTAGTGTCAGGATGAGTTCCATTTAATACTGATAGTAGAGGGAGGCAAGAACATCAAAATTTAACTTTGCCAGGAGAGCAGCACATCCCCCGTGACATTCCCCTTCAAAGCACTGCAGTACGTGCCCACATACTTTATCTATAGACCCAATATCAGCTGATGAAAGAGTGTCATAAATGAAAACACTTTGGAGCTTTTTTCAAAGAATCATACTACTCCTTGTATGCTCAGAGGCACTCTCAGAGACTCACAGAGCGGCTTGCCGTTCTCTCTTAGAACTAAGCTTAACCTGTCTCGAAAACGAATTCTCTGAATCTCTAGAAGTCTTATCTGTTTGCTTTCCTTGAAGATCGGCCAAGGTTTTGTCGTTTCCGAGTAGGCATAATCTTCGCTCACATAAATAAATAAAATTCACGCAAATATAGTTAGACCTAACGAATCACGAACACAATATGTAACAGTTCGAAAAATCCGCTATAAGTACACGTACTGCCTTCTAGCATGACGACGTCACTTTTTTAATGCTTCGAAGATTTTGCTAATTAACTAATTACTTTTTAATGTCAGTTCTTCAAATATAATAGTAAACTTCACTTCAAACAATGTTTTCAATTTGCAGCCCAATNAACGAATCACGAACACAATATGTAACAGTTCGAAAAATCCGCTATAAGTACACGTACTGCCTTCTAGCATGACGACGTCACTTTTTTAATGCTTCGAAGATTTTGCTAATTAACTAATTACTTTTTAATGTCAGTTCTTCAAATATAATAGTAAACTTCATATAATACTTTGACAGCAAGTACTAATTCATGTTTCGCCATCTAGTGAAGAAAGAGACAGACAGACAGAAATCTGTTACGGTTTATTTTAATTAATGTAGATTTTTAGATGATGTTTATCTATAAATCTTCTCTTGAACCGACAGATTCAAAATATAAAGTTTAGTTAAAGTTCGTTTGGGCGTTTTCCCGTGATCCAGCAACAAACGTTTTGTCCGCTACAGTTTTATTTATGTAGAATAACAGAATAGATTTAACGCGAGCCTGAACATAGACAATTAAAAAGCACTGAAAACTATAAAGGATGAAATCGAAATACTCAAAAGAGAAGGGGTCATATCTGGTATTCCACAAGGATCAGTTTTATAAACGGATTCTTGTGGAATACCAGAAGTAGGTTAATTTTTGCAAGATAAAATACTCGTAATTATATTAGAATCATGAATAAAAGATTTAAAAATATCACGTCTTATGGACGATATTTTACTTATACACAAACCTTAAACTAACTTACAGAAGATACTTTATTAACTCAGCAGACTATTGAAGAAGTCATTAACCCAAACTCAACCTGTAAAATAAAATGCATGAAAATATTAAATGAACCATTACGATGTATACTGGAACGAGAAGGAAATGTCATACATTGCGATTCAACATTTCAATATTCCGGCATTTTGTTCAACTAGAAAGATAGAACACGAGATAAAAAACTATGCGACAAACAGCCAAAACAACAAAATTTGGAGAATGTCTGAATGACTTCATCTGGAGGAACGAACGTACAGTACAATACGTACGTGCTTGTTCTTCCAGTGAGAGATAAAACAAAAATTTATATAACGTTATTAGACTGACAATGACTTACTAAATGAAAAATAGAGCAAAACACTAAACGAACTAAAATACTTTAAACAGCTGAAATGTATAGCCTATACTCCAAAAATTAAAATAAATAAATAAATAAAAGTATAAAATAAAGAAATAAGAAAACGATGCAACACAAAAACGACAAAGAAATGATAATGGAGCAGAATAATAAAATGGAACAGTATATATAGAAGAAACGAAGAAAAACTAAAAAAAAAAAANTTATGCCACGTGATCTAGTGTTTTACTGGCCTCGTGATCTAGTGTTTACTGCACGCCTGATGGCCTCGTGATCTAGTGGAACCGACCAGACTGAAGAATGATATAACTGACATACCCGACAATCGAGAGTCAAATCACTTTTGAAATTTTCTGAGCTGAACCAAACTGAAATTTGGATCCTCTAAGAAGAGAGGCTGTTAACCAGATGCCTTGCCATCAGTTACAGTGCAGATTTCGAGTGTTTTTAGAACTAAAAGTTCTTAATCAGCTCGACTAAAATTCATTTATGAACAATCTCACTTTATCTTGAATTACTGTACGTGGCTTATACATTTTACTGTATTCAATCTGAATTTACAATACAGTTATCATTATACAGTGATTAGTATATATTATAAAAGAAAACCATATTTTTGAATGACCTCATGTATAAAATTATAAATTCGATTAATTGTATTTATTTATTTTTTATTTTGAATAATTTTTTACTAATTCCGTCAATTAATGTAATAATATGATTTCAGAGAAGATAAATGTATTTACAGAATTGAAAAAAAAATAATATTTAAACACACTCCTCACCTCATTTTCATTTAAGGAATTCAGTTCTTTTCGAACTTTATCTTGGATTTCCGGATGCTTCACCATCATATACAATGTAAAAGTTAATGTTGAGATTGTTGTATCATAACTGAAAAGGCAAATATTACATCTTAAATAAAATTAAATAGTTTTTCCTGCTTCAATATTTAATAAATTGAGAAAATAAATAATTTTATTTTTTAAACATAATGAAATGATCGCTTTAAATAATCGGGCTATAAATATCGAACTTCGCTATGTTTGATATATTTATTTTTTTATATTATAAATATTTTTTTGAAAATTAAACAATAAGATATTACATTAAAATTCAGAACCATACGTTAATAGTTTTTTCCATAGAAAAAGCATGAAATTTTCAACGTTATCTGCTGAAGATTGTGTGCATAACCAGAGGTTGAAATCAGCTCTTTAAATTAACTGTCTCCGGAAAAATACCTTTTATAAAAATTTATTTCTTAGCATTGACTAATTTATAAATTTTTTCCACAATTATGACTTAATTTTCAGTATAATTTTTGTGTTGAATGTTTTAATTTCCAAAAAATTTTAATACGTAAAATTTCACGAATACATTAAATCAAAGTTAAAGTAAAGTTAAACTTCCTAAATAACTATAAAGAATAGAAAGTTTAACAATATACTTTCATGAATTCACCAAGGAAATTTTATACGTTTTATTAAGAAAAGATATAATTTACCTTCCGATGGCTAAATCAATCAAATTTGTAATAATTTCATCCGTCGATAAAGTTCTTTTCTGTGTATCTAATTAAAAAAAATATCATTAAAACAATATTTAAAACATCCATCAACGGCTTACGTAACTTTTCCGGTTTTTGAGTTCAGAGATGTGAAAACATCGATATTCCAGAAACCCGCAAAGTTTCTGAACAGAAAAACCTCTAAAAACTAATACACATACCTACATATTTTGTGTTGGCGTCTATTTCGTTTAATATCTCAGAATGGGCATAAAGATTAAGAAACGAAATTTGGCATGGCATCTTGTATATAAGGAGCATTGATGCTATTAAATTTTGGTGGTTAAAGGTCAAGGGAAAAGAGGGATCACGTGTCATATCTCGAGAAGAGACGGACTTGATGAAGATTTTACTTGTTATTAGCATTAACAATTTTTATAAAGCTCATCATTACCCTCAAAATTAAACTTTATGCCATTTTATAATAACTAATAATATAAAAATTTTTATAACCAAAAATCCTAACAGATAACCCTACACGCGATTCTATTTATTATGATTAGCAATAAAAAATTACTTTTTAAATTAAACCTCATAACAGGCCGGAAAGTTACATAACTCGTTGCTAGATTTTTTATTTTGGAGAAAATTTCAGTTTTTGCGTACGACAAAGAATACATAGGCCTATTTCAACCATAAAAGATTACATTTACACTATTAATCTGGGCATAAGGTTCGATTTTCTAATTTCGTATATAAATATTCTTCCTACAAAAGAAAGATTCTCCTTACAAAAGAAAGATTCTCCTAAAACAGAATTATTTTCATAGTGATGTTATGAATTTATGTTTTTTCAAAACTAATGTACTATACTCAGGATCATCTCATCTAATATCTTCTAGTTTATTTTTTCCTTAAAGATGTGATGTTTTGTCGGATAGAATACGTAAACTACTAATCGCCAAGCAATCAGAATTTAAGGCAAATGAATATTCATTTGCCTTAAATTCTGATTGTTTGACGATTATACAAATATACAAATCAATAAACTTGTAAGTACTGTACATATTTTATGCATGTTCGTAACGTGTAGTTAATTATACAAAGATCTCTCTCGTTGTTCTTGGACTTTCTATAGGAAATAAATTTAATTTTATTAAAAATAATTGACCTCAAAAACATTGACCTGAATAAAGGAAATATATCCTAGAAGTTTTTATTGCATTTACACATATCAAACAATATATCAAACAATATATGCAAAATACTAATGAATTAGTTTATTTATCAAAGACAGTGTCGTATAAGCGGATATTAATATGTTTTTATGCAAACTAATATGTTTGATCTTCATCTGTGATAGCACACTTTAGCGAAAATTTCAAAATCTATTCCAAAATACTCAGGTTTCAGTGGTACAATTTTCATATTCTGCACTCCCATTGTTCAAAAACCTATTCATTTAGATGCAAGTTCTTACACAGCTAAGTTTCCTGACCCATGGACTAGACCCGAAGATTTGTAGAAGTTAAGGCAGTGGGTACTTATTTGAAAGTTTCTAGTCCACAATCTTTTCATCACTCCTAACACTTTTTAAATTAAAACTACTAATCCCAAACTATTGCAATTTAAGGGAGTTTTTCCATGAGAAGATCCTTCTTTTTGCTTTAGAACATTTTCAATAATCTATTATATTAGGTGCTCTTAGATGTAACCATACAAATATATGAAGTAAAAACAGAGAATTTTTAAAATTAATATTATATCGCAAGAAAAAATATTTTAAAACGTATTAACGACCACGACCTTTCATTAGAGACTCTATCGACAATTCTAAGAACTGACTGAATTCTTAAACAGATAGAAATGACTGTTAGCAAGGCAATGTAAATAGGCCTCGACTACTGACGTGTACGATGTGCATATTCAGAGTTTTTTTTCGCTCTGTGAGCACTAAGAAGCCATTTTAATCACATTTATCATGTGTTCGCCAGGCTCACAATGTAGGGCCGGTGATGAGATGCGAGGCTTGACGAGGTGATGAGAAGCGAATACTAAAAGACGAGGCCCAACACCGAATATATCAATTCAGTGTTAAGCCTCGTCTTTTATACTTGTATACAATTATAATGAAAAACATAATCAAATAAAAATAAAACATAAGTTCAAATAAATAAAAAATTGTATAAGATATCAAAAATGTACTTAAATGACTAGAATAAGAGCATTGAAATAATTACCATGTTTTACATTTACTTTTGAATTATCATCACCAGCATTCATTAAAAGTTGCAGAATATCATTTCTCTGAATCTGAAATATTTTTTAAAACCAAAATTTAAATGAAAAAACAGAAGTAACTGAAAATTTGAAAATATATGGGTAAGCCAAAAAGTAATCTTAATATAATTTTAAAAATTTTACATTTAAATCTAATTGTGATATATTGCGTCTTGAAGCATGCAGATTCCGTACGTCAAGCATCACATGGACTGCAACGTTAGCAGATCTTAACAAAGATGGCGCCGCGCTTACAGATATGCTTCAAAGAGGAGCAGCGTGCAGTCATTCAGTTTTTGAGTAGTGAAGTTACTGGTCACAAATCATAAGTTCATTACTTTCAAAGACTAAGCAAACAAGCAAGGAGTGGCGACATTCCATATCACTGAAACCAGAAAATTTATCACGACTGCTTCGGCCGGTAAGGTAATGCTCATATATTTCTGGGACGATAAAGTTTCAATTCTGGAACATTATATGCCCACAGGATTATCATTGAACAGCATAACATATTGTGACTTGCTTCAGAATTGTTTGAAACTTACAAGAAGTTCCAAACGTTGTTCAGCATGGTAAACAGTTACAGCATGCACGGTCACACACATCTCTATAACAGTCCAAAAAATATTGGACTCAGTGTATGGCGTGTCTTCCACATCCACCTATTCGCCTGACCTTGCACTGAATGATTATCATATTTTTAGACTACTTAAGAAGGTTCTTGGTTGCAAAAAATTCGGTACAGAAAATCAGGTGAAAACAGGGGTGCATGAGTGGCTATAGATAGCCAAAATATTTTTCTTTGTGGAATTCAAGCAACTAATGAAGGCTGATGCATACCTATTAAACGTGGTAGGGATTATGTTGAAAAGTAACGACGTGTTTTCATTTATACGTATATTTTGCAAATAAAAAAGCAATTAAGGTTACTTTTTGACTCATTCTCGTATTTATCAATTCACAAGACAAAAATTTTTTATGTAATTTAATTTGTACATACTTGAGGATTTGATTTCCTCAGACAAAGTACACTAAATAAATTTTTATATGCTCCCATACATGAAGGTCTTCCCAAGTAATATGAAATTTTGTCCTTCGCTTCTCTAATCAAAGTAAAAACTGTTGAAAATTCCGGAAAACATACTATAATTAAACGTGATAAATTAATCAATATGACAGATATAATTAAAATTTTATATTTAATATTCAGAGTAAAACCAAAATTGTCACAGTGTTATAGGGAGATCGACTGTAAATAAAAATTAAAAAAACTTATGTTAATATCATTTACATTCATCTAATACAGTTTATTCTAGCAAAATATGGATTTTTTTCGTTTTTAACTTCTGCGGTACTGTTAATCTATTGTTTATATGTTTTAAACAGTATTATACTCTATTGAAAAAAGTACAAAGTCGTATATCTGCGCAGATAAGACGACCTTCAGATATGACCTCTGTCCTATAAGACGACCCCCAAACTATCAACGGCTTATAAATTTAGTTTAGATCAGTAATCATCATCTGGATAATAATACTGTATAGCTTATGCGGAATTATGCCCTATTCACAAACACGTCGTATGGGCTATTCTATTTTGTGGACATACCCTACTCTCTACTAGTAAATAATTACGGGTTTTCTGTTTTTTATAAAGATATTAATTTATATAAATTTAATCTATTTTTTTGCATCTGTCCTATAAGACGACGCCGGATTTTGGGGGCCTTTTTTATGATTGAACTACCGTCTTATCTGCACAGATATGCGGTATGAATAAAAAGAGGAAAACCGATGGATTTGAATCATAGACAGACGAAGAGTATAAAAAAACTATAATGAATATCATATAAATATAAAGCAGATAATTATTAATTATTTCTATAATACACAAATTTATAATAATTTTTCATTCATGAAAAAGACCGTACAGGATGTTAATACACAAACGAGCAAATATTTATTGTGACATCGTCACATTGTCCAAAACTTTCAAATTGCAGCCCAAAAAATTGTAGACCTGTAAATTTCCACTGCTGTCTGTCCATCTGTCATTCCATAATCTCGAGAACGGAGTTAGAAAGATAACATCTGAGAACAGGTGTGAAAATCCTGGGAGCAGGAGGCCCCGATTAAATATATATAAACGTCCGATACAAACCAGAAATCATGTTATTTCGATTCAAATTTTTCCCCTGAAAGGTGACCGGCACGACTCTATTTCTAGCAGGAAAGACTGGTGTATAGGAAGATGACACTACTAATTTGAGGTTGAAAGCATATATTTAAATTAAATAAATTAAAAATATGATTAACAATCAAGTATTTACTGTGATATCGTCACAACGCCGGCCTGCAATTTTTAACCATATTTTTAATTTATTTAATTTAAATATATGCTTTCAACCTCAAATTGACAAATCTGGAGATTAAAGAAGGACAGACGGACTGACATACAGATGGACAAGAGTGGGTATTTATAGGTCTACAATTTTTTAAAATTGCACTTCAAACAATGTTTTCAATTTGCAGCCCAATAAATCAAGTAAACGATGTAATAAAAATTCAAAATAGATGACATTTTTATGTTTGAAATATCTTAAGTTAATTTACAATTAACTAATTATAAAATTATTAAAGCAAAACCTTCACTTACGAGCAAGGGATATAATTGTGTCTTCAAAAGACACATTTGATAATTGTTTAACATCTTCGTGAAACTTTCTGCCTATTTCATGTCCATTATCTTCAACACCAAAGATATTTAACATTGTACTATCGAAAGCAAATTCGCTAAATAATGCTTTCATTGAAACTAATTCTTTATTTTCTATTTTCTTTTCTATTTTGCTTAAGAGACGAGTGACAGATTTGTCTAATATTGGTATAATCTAAATTGAATATTTGGAATTATTTCTATTTTAAAATTAAATTCTTTCACAGACATCTGTATTATTAAATTAATATAATTACCCCTTTCAATTTTCTGCTAGTGAAACTTGAAGACATTATATTGCGAAGTTCTTTCCAATAAATTCCATCAACTACTCCGACTGCTGATTTTCTGAATGATTTCAATGGTACTCCACCATCTTCAATAAACCACTAAACAATTTCAAAATTTTTAAGTAAATTTATTAAATATCCAATCAATTTAATAAAGTATTCGTACATCTCTGCCAGATGCATCCATGTGGTTTGAAATCATAAAGTTCTTCATAAAATCCAAATTCGATACGAGAAGAATGGGCTTTGAACCCTGAAAGTATCTATAACAATCGTAATTAATATATGCTATTTAATAACAGAAAACGTTAAAAGTAATAAATTAATATTTTTACCCAACAACATTTCCATATTTCTTAATCCATTCGAAATGACATCTTGTAGCCCCCTAAAATCATAAAAAATGCCATATTTAAATCCATATTAATACAATATTCTGTTTTGCATCGGAATACTGAAATAAAAATCGGAACTATTTTATGAAAATTTATTGAAGAAATATTTAAAAATTTTTAAATAGTATATCTGCATAGAATTGTTTGTTACAGATTTACAATAATTCTATTGAAGATGTAGAATATTTTCTACCTAAACTACCTACCTAAAAGGGGGTTATTCAATAGAATAACCCCCTGATATACAACATTTTGTGTTTTATTATGAGAGACACAAATGAACAGAGATTTGCAGCTACTAACACAGGAGCATGCAACATAGAGTTGAAAAAGCAACTACATCTGAAGTCAAATCCTGCAACTCTCAGGCAACTCTCAGGCAAGATAAAAGGAAAACCGATGGATTTGAATCATAGACAGACGAAAAGTGTAAAAATCCATAATGAATACCATATAAATATAAAGCAGATAATTATTAATAATTTCTATAATAATACACAAATTTATAATAATTTGTGTATTATTATAGAATACACAAATTATTATAAATTTGATAATAATTTATCAAATTATCATATTTGATAAATTATTATCAAATATAATAATTTTTATCAAAAATTATTATATTTGATAATAATATCAAATATAATAATTTGATATTATTATATTTGATATAATAATATGGTATAATATATTTGATATATAATACCATATATTTGATATGGTAGTTAATGCAACAATCATTAACAAGTCTTGTGGATTGTTAATGGTTGTTGCAAAGTATAGACTGACTAGAAATTGTAGGGGTTTAAATTCGAATGGGTAGTTTGTCAGGATTAATGGTAAGCTGTTAAATGATAAACCTGTCCTTGAATTTCGAACGTTGAAATGAAACTTTTTTCAAGTATTTCAGTGGCACCAAAACTTATCATTTGGAAGGCACTATTGTAAGCTCTAATGTTCATTAAGAAATTTTTAGTGTCAGGATGAGTTCCATTTAATACTGATAGTAGAGGGAGGCAAGAACATCAAAATTTAACTTTGCCAGGAGAGCAGCACATCCCCCGTGACATTCCCCTTCAAAGCACTGCAGTACGTGCCCACATACTTTATCTATAGACCCAATATCAGCTGATGAAAGAGTGTCATAAATGAAAACACTTTGGAGCTTTTTTCAAAGAATCATACTACTCCTTGTATGCTCAGAGGCACTCTCAGAGACTCACAGAGCGGCTTGCCGTTCTCTCTTAGAACTAAGCTTAACCTGTCTCGAAAACGAATTCTCTGAATCTCTAGAAGTCTTATCTGTTTGCTTTCCTTGAAGATCGGCCAAGGTTTTGTCGTTTCCGAGTAGGCATAATCTTCGCTCACATAAATAAATAAAATTCACGCAAATATAGTTAGACCTAACGAATCACGAACACAATATGTAACAGTTCGAAAAATCCGCTATAAGTACACGTACTGCCTTCTAGCATGACGACGTCACTTTTTTAATGCTTCGAAGATTTTGCTAATTAACTAATTACTTTTTAATGTCAGTTCTTCAAATATAATAGTAAACTTCATATAATACTTTGACAGCAAGTACTAATTCATGTTTCGCCATCTAGTGAAGAAAGAGACAGACAGACAGAAATCTGTTACGGTTTATTTTAATTAATGTAGATTTTTAGATGATGTTTATCTATAAATCTTCTCTTGAACCGACAGATTCAAAATATAAAGTTTAGTTAAAGTTCGTTTGGGCGTTTTCCCGTGATCCAGCAACAAACGTTTTGTCCGCTACAGTTTTATTTATGTAGAATAACAGAATAGATTTAACGCGAGCCTGAACATAGACAATTAAAAAGTACTGAAAACTATAAAGGATGAAATCGAAATACTCAAAAGAGAAGGGGTCATATCTGGTATTCCACAAGGATCAGTTTTATAAACGGATTCTTGTGGAATACCAGAAGTAGGTTAATTTTTGCAAGATAAAATACTCGTAATTATATTAGAATCATGAATAAAAGATTTAAAAATATCACGTCTTATGGACGATATTTTACTTATACACAAACCTTAAACTAACTTACAGAAGATACTTTATTAACTCAGCAGACTATTGAAGAAGTCATTAACCCAAACTCAACCTGTAAAATAAAATGCATGAAAATATTAAATGAACCATTACGATGTATACTGGAACGAGAAGGAAATGTCATACATTGCGATTCAACATTTCAATATTCCGGCATTTTGTTCAACTAGAAAGATAGAACACGAGATAAAAAACTATGCGACAAACAGCCAAAACAACAAAATTTGGAGAATGTCTGAATGACTTCATCTGGAGGAACGAACGTACAGTACAATACGTACGTGCTTGTTCTTCCAGTGAGAGATAAAACAAAAATTTATATAACGTTATTAGACTGACAATGACTTACTAAATGAAAAATAGAGCAAAACACTAAACGAACTAAAATACTTTAAACAGCTGAAATGTATAGCCTATACTCCAAAAATTAAAATAAATAAATAAATAAAAGTATAAAATAAAGAAATAAGAAAACGATGCAACACAAAAACGACAAAGAAATGATAATGGAGCAGAATAATAAAATGGAACAGTATATATAGAAGAAACGAAGAAAAACTAAAAAAAAAAAAAAAAATCAATATATAACTGACTCCCGAAAGAAAGTATGAAAATAGGTGAAACCAAAGGAAAGATATAAATAGGACTGTTTGGAATAACAGCGATCTGGTCACAACAGATAACACATCTAATTTGTAAAAGAATAAATGTTTTAAAAAATCAAAATATCCTACCTTAAAAATATTTTTAAGGAAAATATTTTTTGACTGTAAATATATTATACATTGTACATTTTAAATAAACAAATTTTTAGTTTTTCAGTTTCCAATTGAGGAAAACTGTGCTATTAATTAATAATTCCTTCTTTTCATTTATTCTTCTGAAATTGAGTACAGAATCGACCCATGACCTGATACAACGATTTTATTAAGATTTTATAATAATAATAATATGCATTTCGAGTGTCTGTGGCACTCTCTTCAGTCATTAATTCATTAATCTTTATAAAACTACACAATTATATTATTATAGCTGTTTACTATCTACATTTGGCATTTTACTAATCTTAACAAAGTTGCATACATCCCTTCTTGTAATATTTTTCATACACATCTGTTAAAATGTAATTAAGATTAGTAAAATACATAATAATTGTAAATAGTAAACGGTTATAATAGTGTAATTGTCTGAAAACGAGTGCTATAGGCACTTGAAATGCGTATTATTATTGTAAAATCTTAAATAATTGCGTCAGGTCATACATTGATTGTTTATTCTATTTCAGAAAAATAAATTAAGAAAAAATAAAATTTATCATCTTATAGAATATAATGATTTAAATATTTCTCTGTAAATTTAGTTTTTTAAATTAAAATAATCAACTGAAAATTATTTTCTCTAACCTCCATCTTGCTAAACTATATTACCTTCTTAAAAACTTCTTCCATATTTCCATAAATAAAATATGGTTTCGGTCCCGGTATACCTAATTCCATAAAATACGAAAATCGTCTCTTTCTCCATCTAAAAAGTGTAAAGGAATTTAGTAATCTAAATAAGTAATAGGATATCCTAATTTTAAAATAATGTAAAATCCCTTCTTTTATCTCACATAAAATAAAATTATAAGTAGTTTTAATAACACACGAAATATCGAAAAACGAGTTACTGTAAAAACCTGTGTAAACAGGAAACGCACGGAACCGAATATTTTTTCCAGTTTATCAGTTTCAGTTTTGAACAGGTTTCTTTTTAACAAAAAATTCGCTCCGTTTCGAAGAATTATTTTCGCTTAGGCAGGATTCGGTTTTAATCAGGTTCCGTTTTACACAGGTGTTACTGTACAGCATTAATTTTGAAAATATGAAATAATATTTATATCAAGTTTTTATTGTTTGAAAATTTGAAGCTGTTGAAAGTCTTCATCCTGTGTAATCATGGACTTGCAAGTATACAAAGATTTACAGGAAATAATACGAGCTGTTGTACAGAAGTATATGTATATTAAAATTTGAGGAAATGTAGTCACACTATTAGTCACAAATTGTAACAATCTTTCTGCTTGTTTTACGCAGATTAATTAATCTAAGAGCATTTTTGTAATATGCTTAAATAAGACGAATTTTTAATTAAATTTATAACGATAATTTATGTGTATTCTACTAGAAAAAAAATCCAAAATTGCTTACCTTTTCCGGCAACATTTAAAACTGCTAGTGACGGCCTCTGTTTTAATACTCTAGTAAAAACCAGGGCTGTAGAGTCGCGTAAAAATCTACCGACTCCAACTCCAACTCCTACCTTTCCTTATCATCCGACTCCAACTCCGATTTTTCCTTACCATCCGACTCCGACTCCGACCCCGACCAGGGGCGGACTTGTTACCGAAAGAGACCCGGAATTTCTGATGTCATCACGTGACCTCAGAATAAAAGATTCAATAAATAGAGTTCTAATAAAGATAGAACGTAGAAACTTTTTATTATAAAGCTATAAGACTCCTCTAAGTAATATATAAATATGTATTCGATAATTTTTACTTTTCCGGCTGTTATATATAACAGAAAAGTGTAGCGCTCGGTCAAAAAATAATCCCTCCCAAATTTTTACATTTTTCGACTCAGGACACCTTGAAATTTTGAGATATGCAAAGGATTCGAGGTTTTTCCTATATGTGTGGATGTTAGACTGTGTGTGGGGCATGATTTTGTCCATCCTGTTTGAAGCCTAATAATTTCTGTGGTCAGAGTGGTCAGAATCGGAGTTAGATGGTTTAACACAAGAGTTATTAAGCGTCAAAGTGGTTGAACTAAATCATGTCCTCATATACAATCTAGCGTCTTAGGCGAGGACATCTTAACGGTATTTAATTTATTATAAAATGACAAAAAAGCTTACTTTGAGGGTAAAGATGAATTTTATTTTATTATTATTATTTTTTTAATTTTGAACGTTAATAAGGAGTAAAATATTCATTAAGAGATATGACACATGATCACTTTTATGTCTTCACCCTGTCGACCTTTAATTAAGAACCAAAATTTAATAGTATTAATGCCCCTTTATATGCAAGCTACAGTGCCACATTTCGTTTCTTAACCTTTACCCAAAATAAAGAAATTAAACAAATTAGACGCCAACACACACACTCGCAAGAATTTTTCACTTTTATTGACTTTTTGAGGTGTTCGGGAGGTGTCCAAACGTGTAGATTTGCAAAAGAAACTTGGAGGGTCAAATTTGACACGATTCCAATACTTTTCCGTTTTATATACAAGTTGGGAAGTAAAAAGGAGTCGGAGTCGGTGAATTTTTTGACGACTCCGACTCCGACTTAAACACCAAAACTCCACGACTCCGACTCCACAGCCCTAGTAAAAACAGTTTTATATATTTAATTATTACAAAATGGCAAAAAGCTTAATTTTGAGGGTAGAGATGGGTTGTATAGAAAATTGTAAGTGCTAATAACGAGTAAAATCATCAAATAAATAATAAAAACAATGGGATCGGTGTAGACAAATATTAAAATTAATAAATTCCAAAAATTTTTCCGTTTAAAAAACTTTTAAGAACCACAAGTGACGTTCACTCTTTAATTCCGACTTCGATAGAGTTTAAAAAAACAGAGAAAACCAGAGAATTATTTTCACTATTTCTTACTTTATTATGTTATCCATATATATTTCGCTATTTTAGCCTCTTCAGTGGATATTACACTGTTAAGTTGCCAGTACTATTATAGTTCATCAAGCTATCCCAGCATGCATCGACATATGCTCCTGTATTTAAATTTATACAATTTGCATGTTCTTTAATACAGTAATGTTCTATGATGCGTCTTTTTACAAAATTTTTTTCTTNGCATGAGGCGGCAATTCGATTGAACAGAACTGAATCCCCGTGGCAACAACACTGCAGTATTAAAAATTGTCTTATTGATCGTAGTAATATTAAAATTTTGTATAAAGAAAAAAATTTTGTAAAAAGACGCATCATAGAACATTACTGTATTAAAGAACATGCAAATTGTATAAATTTAAATACAGGAGCATATGTCGATGCATGCTGGGATAGCTTGATGAACTATAATAGTACTGGCAACTTAACAGTGTAATATCCACTGAAGAGGCTAAAATAGCGAAATATATATGGATAACATAATAAAGTAAGAAATAGTGAAAATAATTCTCTGGTTTTCTCTGTTTTTTTAAACTCTATCGAAGTCGGAATTAAAGAGTGAACGTCACTTGTGGTTCTTAAAAGTTTTTTAAACGAGTAAAATCATCATTAAGCCGATTCTACTGGAGATATGACTCATGACCTCTCTTTATCTCCTTTAACCACGAAAGTTTGATAGCATCAATCCCCTAATACATAAATCTCCCTGCAAAATTTCAGAAATTTCCGACAAAAAGCACAAGAGTCATTAAACTTCAAAGAGGGTAAACAAAATCGTGCCCCCCACACACAAACACACACACGCGCGTGAATATTATCGTTGTGTGTGGAAGCGTTCGATTTATGTGATCCCGTAAAAAACTGGTGAAACTAGGTTGAAAAAGTAAAGCTCAGCAAAAATATCTAAGTAAAGGAAACTTTTGAAACTTGTGGCATAAGAATACTAGAAACAGATTTGATAGTAAGACTCAACACGTGTATAAAGTGCACATTACTACAGAATATTTTGAACGAAGCAATGTCGTCATGATAATAAATAAAATAATAAATAGGAAAAATAAACATCGGCATAGAAAAAGAAAAAGACTTTGAGCTCTACTTTGTGCCTTGAAATCGTTGCACGTACTATACATTAGTCTGGTTGAACGTTAGAACATCTTAAGCATTATCAGTTAAAGAAATTTGGGGTAAGGGTTTATGAGTTACTAAGGGGAAATGAAATCAGGGGAGGGGCGGGATGTCCAAGTTTTCCGGTAGTTAAGCATGTTTTCATAAATATCGTGTTTATAGAAAAAGTATTGAAATTGAATTGGTTTATTTATACGCGGCAACGCAACATGTGAACGATCTGCTAAATAGAATGCATCCCGGAAAAACTTTTATGTAGAGCTGACCTCAATTTAAGTGTTACTAACGCGAAGAAAATCCAGAAAACTCCACGTGACCAGTTCGTTGACCACGCGCAAACCCAAGACCGGTATTCGGTGGTTTAATTCACTCAGTTACTGAAGGGTACTTATTGGGCTGCAATTTGAAAACATTGTAGACCTGTGAGTTCTTCCTTAATCTCGAGAACGGACTTAGATAAATGAAAGTGGAGACCAGACACGGAAAGCATAAGAAAAAGAGAACCAGATTATCCTTATACCAACCTAAACTTAAAAAAATTCTTCGAAACGGAGCAATTTTCTATGTTAAAAAAAGAACCTGTTCAAAACGGAAAAAACGCCACACTGGCAAAATATCCGGTTACACAGGTTTTACTGTATATTTTATTCAGCTCACAGAAAAAAAAAAGACGTATAGAAGGAATGTCGGTAGGATTTACCATTTGTATTGAATATATACAATATTTTTCATGCAGCCGTAACATCAATAGCATCCTCAACCACAGCGTACTTATCGTTTAGTAAATCATATCACATGCAAGCACACAGTACATGTCTAACGATTAAGATTGAACGTGATTGAAATTAATAAATAACTATACAGATGTAAGATTTGTGTTATTGTCCTTATTTTCCATTTATGTCTTTCAGAACAGTTTATTAACGTTAGGATTCATCGCCTTGGTCGAAACAAAACTGATATTTGTGCAAGTAGGGGGAATAATCTTAGAATAACGCCTGTTTATTGTTTTTTGTTTATATTTTCAATTTTTATTTAGGGCTTATCGTTTTAAAGTATTTATGATAAACAGGAATTTAGTAATAAATCTATCAAGTCTTTATATTTTTCTGATATAACTGGCCTAGTTTTTGTACAAAATAGAAAATTTTATATTTCCGAAATTCTTTCATCTTTCTAGTTGTGGTAATAAATCGAAAAGTTTAAGTGACTTTTACACTCATGCATGTATTTGATGTATTTATGCTGTACACTATTTGAATTGAACGGGAAACATCCGAATACTACAGAATTTTTATATCTTCACAGTATTTATCAGTTTATTAGGCCTATATTAAATTTTATCTATTGTTATCTTCAATATTTTTCAAAAATAAACTTGCTCCTTTNAAAAACTATAATGAATATCATATAAATATAAAGCAGATAATTATTAATTATTTCTATAATACACAAATTTATAATAATTTTTCATTCATGAAAAAGACCGTACAGGATGTTAATACACAAACGAGCAAATATTTATTGTGACATCGTCACATTGTCCAAAACTTTCAAATTGCAGCCCAAAAAATTGTAGACCTGTAAATTTCCACTGCTGTCTGTCCATCTGTCATTCCATAATCTCGAGAACGGAGTTAGAAAGATAACATCTGAGAACAGGTGTGAAAATCCTGGGAGCAGGAGGCCCCGATTAAATATATATAAACGTCCGATACAAACCAGAAATCATGTTATTTCGATTCAAATTTTTCCCCTGAAAGGTGACCGGCACGACTCTATTTCTAGCAGGAAAGACTGGTGTATAGGAAGATGACACTACTAATTTGAGGTTGAAAGCATATATTTAAATTAAATAAATTAAAAATATGATTAACAATCAAGTATTTACTGTGATATCGTCACAACGCCGGCCTGCAATTTTTAACCATATTTTTAATTTATTTAATTTAAATATATGCTTTCAACCTCAAATTGACAAATCTGGAGATTAAAGAAGGACAGACGGACTGACATACAGATGGACAAGAGTGGGTATTTATAGGTCTACAATTTTTTAAAATTGCACTTCAAACAATGTTTTCAATTTGCAGCCCAATAAATCAAGTAAACGATGTAATAAAAATTCAAAATAGATGACATTTTTATGTTTGAAATATCTTAAGTTAATTTACAATTAACTAATTATAAAATTATTAAAGCAAAACCTTCACTTACGAGCAAGGGATATAATTGTGTCTTCAAAAGACACATTTGATAATTGTTTAACATCTTCGTGAAACTTTCTGCCTATTTCATGTCCATTATCTTCAACACCAAAGATATTTAACATTGTACTATCGAAAGCAAATTCGCTAAATAATGCTTTCATTGAAACTAATTCTTTATTTTCTATTTTCTTTTCTATTTTGCTTAAGAGACGAGTGACAGATTTGTCTAATATTGGTATAATCTAAATTGAATATTTGGAATTATTTCTATTTTAAAATTAAATTCTTTCACAGACATCTGTATTATTAAATTAATATAATTACCCCTTTCAATTTTCTGCTAGTGAAACTTGAAGACATTATATTGCGAAGTTCTTTCCAATAAATTCCATCAACTACTCCGACTGCTGATTTTCTGAATGATTTCAATGGTACTCCACCATCTTCAATAAACCACTAAACAATTTCAAAATTTTTAAGTAAATTTATTAAATATCCAATCAATTTAATAAAGTATTCGTACATCTCTGCCAGATGCATCCATGTGGTTTGAAATCATAAAGTTCTTCATAAAATCCAAATTCGATACGAGAAGAATGGGCTTTGAACCCTGAAAGTATCTATAACAATCGTAATTAATATATGCTATTTAATAACAGAAAACGTTAAAAGTAATAAATTAATATTTTTACCCAACAACATTTCCATATTTCTTAATCCATTCGAAATGACATCTTGTAGCCCCCTAAAATCATAAAAAATGCCATATTTAAATCCATATTAATACAATATTCTGTTTTGCATCGGAATACTGAAATAAAAATCGGAACTATTTTATGAAAATTTATTGAAGAAATATTTAAAAATTTTTAAATAGTATATCTGCATAGAATTGTTTGTTACAGATTTACAATAATTCTATTGAAGATGTAGAATATTTTCTACCTAAACTACCTACCTAAAAGGGGGTTATTCAATAGAATAACCCCCTGATATACAACATTTTGTGTTTTATTATGAGAGACACAAATGAACAGAGATTTGCAGCTACTAACACAGGAGCATGCAACATAGAGTTGAAAAAGCAACTACATCTGAAGTCAAATCCTGCAACTCTCAGGCAACTCTCAGGCAAGATAAAAGGAAAACCGATGGATTTGAATCATAGACAGACGAAAAGTGTAAAAATCCATAATGAATACCATATAAATATAAAGCAGATAATTATTAATAATTTCTATAATAATACACAAATTTATAATAATTTGTGTATTATTATAGAATACACAAATTATTATAAATTTGATAATAATTTATCAAATTATCATATTTGATAAATTATTATCAAATATAATAATTTTTATCAAAAATTATTATATTTGATAATAATATCAAATATAATAATTTGATATTATTATATTTGATATAATAATATGGTATAATATATTTGATATATAATACCATATATTTGATATGGTAGTTAATGCAACAATCATTAACAAGTCTTGTGGATTGTTAATGGTTGTTGCAAAGTATAGACTGACTAGAAATTGTAGGGGTTTAAATTCGAATGGGTAGTTTGTCAGGATTAATGGTAAGCTGTTAAATGATAAACCTGTCCTTGAATTTCGAACGTTGAAATGAAACTTTTTTCAAGTATTTCAGTGGCACCAAAACTTATCATTTGGAAGGCACTATTGTAAGCTCTAATGTTCATTAAGAAATTTTTAGTGTCAGGATGAGTTCCATTTAATACTGATAGTAGAGGGAGGCAAGAACATCAAAATTTAACTTTGCCAGGAGAGCAGCACATCCCCCGTGACATTCCCCTTCAAAGCACTGCAGTACGTGCCCACATACTTTATCTATAGACCCAATATCAGCTGATGAAAGAGTGTCATAAATGAAAACACTTTGGAGCTTTTTTCAAAGAATCATACTACTCCTTGTATGCTCAGAGGCACTCTCAGAGACTCACAGAGCGGCTTGCCGTTCTCTCTTAGAACTAAGCTTAACCTGTCTCGAAAACGAATTCTCTGAATCTCTAGAAGTCTTATCTGTTTGCTTTCCTTGAAGATCGGCCAAGGTTTTGTCGTTTCCGAGTAGGCATAATCTTCGCTCACATAAATAAATAAAATTCACGCAAATATAGTTAGACCTAACGAATCACGAACACAATATGTAACAGTTCGAAAAATCCGCTATAAGTACACGTACTGCCTTCTAGCATGACGACGTCACTTTTTTAATGCTTCGAAGATTTTGCTAATTAACTAATTACTTTTTAATGTCAGTTCTTCAAATATAATAGTAAACTTCATATAATACTTTGACAGCAAGTACTAATTCATGTTTCGCCATCTAGTGAAGAAAGAGACAGACAGACAGAAATCTGTTACGGTTTATTTTAATTAATGTAGATTTTTAGATGATGTTTATCTATAAATCTTCTCTTGAACCGACAGATTCAAAATATAAAGTTTAGTTAAAGTTCGTTTGGGCGTTTTCCCGTGATCCAGCAACAAACGTTTTGTCCGCTACAGTTTTATTTATGTAGAATAACAGAATAGATTTAACGCGAGCCTGAACATAGACAATTAAAAAGCACTGAAAACTATAAAGGATGAAATCGAAATACTCAAAAGAGAAGGGGTCATATCTGGTATTCCACAAGGATCAGTTTTATAAACGGATTCTTGTGGAATACCAGAAGTAGGTTAATTTTTGCAAGATAAAATACTCGTAATTATATTAGAATCATGAATAAAAGATTTAAAAATATCACGTCTTATGGACGATATTTTACTTATACACAAACCTTAAACTAACTTACAGAAGATACTTTATTAACTCAGCAGACTATTGAAGAAGTCATTAACCCAAACTCAACCTGTAAAATAAAATGCATGAAAATATTAAATGAACCATTACGATGTATACTGGAACGAGAAGGAAATGTCATACATTGCGATTCAACATTTCAATATTCCGGCATTTTGTTCAACTAGAAAGATAGAACACGAGATAAAAAACTATGCGACAAACAGCCAAAACAACAAAATTTGGAGAATGTCTGAATGACTTCATCTGGAGGAACGAACGTACAGTACAATACGTACGTGCTTGTTCTTCCAGTGAGAGATAAAACAAAAATTTATATAACGTTATTAGACTGACAATGACTTACTAAATGAAAAATAGAGCAAAACACTAAACGAACTAAAATACTTTAAACAGCTGAAATGTATAGCCTATACTCCAAAAATTAAAATAAATAAATAAATAAAAGTATAAAATAAAGAAATAAGAAAACGATGCAACACAAAAACGACAAAGAAATGATAATGGAGCAGAATAATAAAATGGAACAGTATATATAGAAGAAACGAAGAAAAACTAAAAAAAAAAAAAAAAATCAATATATAACTGACTCCCGAAAGAAAGTATGAAAATAGGTGAAACCAAAGGAAAGATATAAATAGGACTGTTTGGAATAACAGCGATCTGGTCACAACAGATAACACATCTAATTTGTAAAAGAATAAATGTTTTAAAAAATCAAAATATCCTACCTTAAAAATATTTTTAAGGAAAATATTTTTTGACTGTAAATATATTATACATTGTACATTTTAAATAAACAAATTTTTAGTTTTTCAGTTTCCAATTGAGGAAAACTGTGCTATTAATTAATAATTCCTTCTTTTCATTTATTCTTCTGAAATTGAGTACAGAATCGACCCATGACCTGATACAACGATTTTATTAAGATTTTATAATAATAATAATATGCATTTCGAGTGTCTGTGGCACTCTCTTCAGTCATTAATTCATTAATCTTTATAAAACTACACAATTATATTATTATAGCTGTTTACTATCTACATTTGGCATTTTACTAATCTTAACAAAGTTGCATACATCCCTTCTTGTAATATTTTTCATACACATCTGTTAAAATGTAATTAAGATTAGTAAAATACATAATAATTGTAAATAGTAAACGGTTATAATAGTGTAATTGTCTGAAAACGAGTGCTATAGGCACTTGAAATGCGTATTATTATTGTAAAATCTTAAATAATTGCGTCAGGTCATACATTGATTGTTTATTCTATTTCAGAAAAATAAATTAAGAAAAAATAAAATTTATCATCTTATAGAATATAATGATTTAAATATTTCTCTGTAAATTTAGTTTTTAAAATTAAAATAATCAACTGAAAATTATTTTCTCTAACCTCCATCTTGCTAAACTATATTACCTTCTTAAAAACTTCTTCCATATTTCCATAAATAAAATATGGTTTCGGTCCCGGTATACCTAATTCCATAAAATACGAAAATCGTCTCTTTCTCCATCTAAAAAGTGTAAAGGAATTTAGTAATCTAAATAAGTAATAGGATATCCTAATTTTAAAATAATGTAAAATCCCTTCTTTTATCTCACATAAAATAAAATTATAAGTAGTTTTAATAACACACGAAATATCGAAAAACGAGTTACTGTAAAAACCTGTGTAAACAGGAAACGCACGGAACCGAATATTTTTTCCAGTTTATCAGTTTCAGTTTTGAACAGGTTTCTTTTTAACAAAAAATTCGCTCCGTTTCGAAGAATTATTTTCGCTTAGGCAGGATTCGGTTTTAATCAGGTTCCGTTTTACACAGGTGTTACTGTACAGCATTAATTTTGAAAATATGAAATAATATTTATATCAAGTTTTTATTGTTTGAAAATTTGAAGCTGTTGAAAGTCTTCATCCTGTGTAATCATGGACTTGCAAGTATACAAAGATTTACAGGAAATAATACGAGCTGTTGTACAGAAGTATATGTATATTAAAATTTGAGGAAATGTAGTCACACTATTAGTCACAAATTGTAACAATCTTTCTGCTTGTTTTACGCAGATTAATTAATCTAAGAGCATTTTTGTAATATGCTTAAATAAGACGAATTTTTAATTAAATTTATAACGATAATTTATGTGTATTCTACTAGAAAAAAAATCCAAAATTGCTTACCTTTTCCGGCAACATTTAAAACTGCTAGTGACGGCCTCTGTTTTAATACTCTAGTAAAAACCAGGGCTGTAGAGTCGCGTAAAAATCTACCGACTCCAACTCCAACTCCTACCTTTCCTTATCATCCGACTCCAACTCCGATTTTTCCTTACCATCCGACTCCGACTCCGACCCCGACCAGGGGCGGACTTGTTACCGAAAGAGACCCGGAATTTCTGATGTCATCACGTGACCTCAGAATAAAAGATTCAATAAATAGAGTTCTAATAAAGATAGAACGTAGAAACTTTTTATTATAAAGCTATAAGACTCCTCTAAGTAATATATAAATATGTATTCGATAATTTTTACTTTTCCGGCTGTTATATATAACAGAAAAGTGTAGCGCTCGGTCAAAAAATAATCCCTCCCAAATTTTTACATTTTTCGACTCAGGACACCTTGAAATTTTGAGATATGCAAAGGATTCGAGGTTTTTCCTATATGTGTGGATGTTAGACTGTGTGTGGGGCATGATTTTGTCCATCCTGTTTGAAGCCTAATAATTTCTGTGGTCAGAGTGGTCAGAATCGGAGTTAGATGGTTTAACACAAGAGTTATTAAGCGTCAAAGTGGTTGAACTAAATCATGTCCTCATATACAATCTAGCGTCTTAGGCGAGGACATCTTAACGGTATTTAATTTATTATAAAATGACAAAAAAGCTTACTTTGAGGGTAAAGATGAATTTTATTTTATTATTATTATTTTTTTAATTTTGAACGTTAATAAGGAGTAAAATATTCATTAAGAGATATGACACATGATCACTTTTATGTCTTCACCCTGTCGACCTTTAATTAAGAACCAAAATTTAATAGTATTAATGCCCCTTTATATGCAAGCTACAGTGCCACATTTCGTTTCTTAACCTTTACCCAAAATAAAGAAATTAAACAAATTAGACGCCAACACACACACTCGCAAGAATTTTTCACTTTTATTGACTTTTTGAGGTGTTCGGGAGGTGTCCAAACGTGTAGATTTGCAAAAGAAACTTGGAGGGTCAAATTTGACACGATTCCAATACTTTTCCGTTTTATATACAAGTTGGGAAGTAAAAAGGAGTCGGAGTCGGTGAATTTTTTGACGACTCCGACTCCACAGCCCTAGTAAAAACAGTTTTATATATTTAATTATTACAAAATGGCAAAAAGCTTAATTTTGAGGGTAGAGATGGGTTGTATAGAAAATTGTAAGTGCTAATAACGAGTAAAATCATCAAATAAATAATAAAAACAATGGGATCGGTGTAGACAAATATTAAAATTAATAAATTCCAAAAATTTTTCCGTTTAANAAAAAAAAAAAAAAAAAAAAAATCGGATTGTGCATAGAGATACAACCGCAGTCGTTTAAGGCGTGAATCGGTTTTCGTGTTATCAGAGGAAGGGTAAGATGTAAATGTTATTCATTTAGTCTTAGTGGTTATCACATTCCAATTCACATCCATCAGGTCAGGCGGCGATGTACTCGTGCCGGCGTTGACGCTTTCGGCTCTTTGCTAACTCTTTACAATCTGTATAGTTCGGAATTAGTCAATTTGAGCTTTTCTGATTACTTTTGAATTTTTATTTCCAATGATTTACATTTCTTAAATGTCTGTCCATACTTCATTTGAAATTTTCACGACAATAAGAAAATTTTCTTTAACTGAGCATACTCATGAGCTTACAATTTTCGAAATTTTATTTTATCGATAATTATTGCTAAATAATATTGTAGATTCTGTTTTTTCTCTACAAATAGATACACATTTTAAGTTCTATCTCTCTATGAGCCAAAGTTACACTTCCTAAACACCACGCCTCGTCTACATTTTCACTATTCACGTGCAAGCACTATCTTTCCCTCATGCTGCTGCACACTTCCACTACCCACCATGTTAGATAAGGATAAACTCTCTATCCAACAAAATTTAAATCTAATTGTCATTTACTGTTTACGAGATATAAACGCGAAAAAGCCTTTTTTGATCGCTCTAGTTTTCATAAAGACTTCTCTACACTGGACCGAATTTAAAGACGTACTCAAGTCAAAATAATCAAAACTTAGATTTTAAATTCCGTTTAAAGATCCTTTTTAACATGTATACATTCAAAATGATTAGTTTAGAATTGCATAATCTTCATAATCTCTATGAACATAGTTTTGCTGTCTATCATTATATTAACATATCACAAATGAAATGTTTTATTCAGGCTACTTAAAACCAAGAAGACCTATTTCGTTATATAACAAAATTTAAAAAGGAATTTTGTAATTTTTTGTGTTACATTAAAAAGTGCAAAACTTCTTGATTGCTTCCCTTGTAATTCGCTTTGCACGTGTCAAATAGTTTATATTCTAGTTTACTTTATCAGCCAACAGCAAAGTAATTTATTCGTTTTGATATTTTACTTAAGAAATTTTAATATTTTTAACTATTATAAAGTGGCAAAAAGCTCAGTTTTGAAGGTAGAGATATGTTTTATAAATATAAAAAATTGTAAATTCTAATAACGAGTAAAATCGTCGTTAAGTCCGACCCCACTGATCTCCTCCCCTTGACTTTTAATCATTAAAATTTAATACATTAATTCCCTAATACACAAACCTCCTTGCAAAATTTCAGAAATTTTCGACAAAAGCACAGGAGCTTCAGAGAGGGTAAAAAAAATTGTGCCACACACACTAACATCTATATACAAATTACCCCTGATTTTTTATTATTTTTTAATCTCTCGACGTTGTAAGGTTCTCTGAGTGAAAAATTTAAAAAAAAAATTGACCGATGGCCTTACTGTGTATCTATTATATATAACAGCCGGGAAAATAATTAGATATAACAAAGTTATTGTAATACACTATAAAGTTTGGTTCAATGTCACGACTTGGTGAATTTATTGACACTTGGCAAATAAGATCATCATCAACTTTTAAATCAAACAGATACGTGTTTCGGGCTTTCACCCCTCTTCAGTCTGTTACATATATAGGTTGTATTTTGTATCTTGTATCCATAAGATACAAGTCATAACATTGAACCAAACAAAACAAGAAGAAGACACGGTTTCGACAAATAAATAAAACAATATAAAGTATTAAAATAAAAAAAATTAAAATGAGATAATTTAATTTTTATTTATACAGAGATAACAAGATAAAAATTGAAAATGAAGTTACTAAAAGAATATAAATTATAAATTAATAGATAAAGTTTTATTTACAATCTCCATCTGTTATAATAACCTTTTACCATGCAATTTAAAACCTTAATAATTTTGCTTTTACAATACGTATGATTAAAAAACACTAAAAGAAATTTAAAAGCTTAATCATACAGTTTATTTTAATTCATAGTAAAACATTCCAATGTAGTTGCTCGGTGATTTTTGAATTGCATTTGTCGATATCATACAGTTTCAATGAGTATACATCAGTGTTAATTAGGAATATCCCAGTATCAGAAAAGTTTCGGTACCGACTAGTATCAGTACTGGGTTTCGAAACTGCAAATCTTGGCAGCTGTCACTGTTCAGTCTGCCCGTCACCTTTCAGTTGTTTTTATTGCAGAGAAGCTATACTTATGCGTTTATTTGCGCGGTGGATACGTTCCAAAGAATGCCTTGTAAAAATATCAGGTAAAAATGTACTGTCCAGTGCAAAATGGTTTTCCTCATCGTGACGTGAATCACGTCACGTAAGTGACGTCATTTGACCTGTCAATCATTTCTACCTGTGCTCGCATTGGTTTAAAATGGACTGCGCCGCTGTATGATTTATTTGGGGGGTGATAGGAATGATTCAAGAGGGATTATGTTGAGCACTAAGCTTAAAAATCGTAATCACAACTTTTTTTAATATAATCGCGTTTTTTTTTATGTAATAAAAATCTGGCACTATTGCCATTAGAAAATACGATTATATCGTTTATTTATATAATTTTTCTTTTTTCTGACGTTTCTTATGTTTATATTACTTGTATTTTGTTGTTTATATTACTGTAATTTGTCCAAAAATGAATGAAAAAAACATATCTAGATTTACTTCCGTTTAAATTATTCCAGAAACGGATTTCAGTGCCTAGCACCGATGCCAGGCAGTGAAACCCGCTTCTCTCCAATTCCTTTGTAATTGGAGAGAAGTGGAGATGGAAGTTAAGGTCACAATAGTAAATGTTTATCATCTTTACAGAAGAGATTCACACTCATTTTTAACGTAAACAAACCTTTATTACAGTGCTTTATTACAGTGCCAATTATTTCAACTTTCAACGATTGACATCCGCTCTCTTTGTAACTAGAGAAGAGGTAGAATTGGGTATCAAAATCACAGTAGTAACCGTTTATTCTTTTCATTGAAGAGATTCATTTCATCCACTCCATCGCTAATATCAACAACGTTCTATTACCACCAGTTCCGATAACTGCTTTGATTCTGTCGTCTGCTTTTTGTTTCTCTTTTTCTCCGTTAAGGGTCGCCTCTCGTTCTCTCAAAATTTAATAAAATACTTATTCGTTTAAATATGAAAATTAGCTAAATTACAGCTGAAAAACGACATAAATCTTATTTTATTTGTAAATGGAGAAGGACGATGACTCATTCAGAAAGATTTGTTAATAGACTTCGCGTCCGCGAGAGTCAATAAACATTAATTGTTTTATGACTCTATTAACAAATTCTTTCTGTATTGTAAATCGACTAATTGACTAAGTTTTTATTTCATTTTACTCATAAGAAGGTTGTCTTCAATACTTAACAGATAGTTCTGTTAGATCTTTACACATTAATTTAATTTAAATTTTTTATGTGATATAGTCGCATGTTAGGCTTAACTCGATCACCTAATATCAAAAATTGAGACGGCTCGAATCATTATAGTAAACATCAAAATTCTTTGCTGGTACTTTAGACAAAAATGTTTTCTATGTATGAAATGAAGCAATTAAAAATAATAAGCGGACCATCAAAAATTCGAATATTTACGACATGTTTTCGATTATGTAAAAAACTTCACATAATAATACTTAAAAATTGCATCTATGTCAATTCCTGAATGTTATAAAAATGCAATTAGCAACAATATTACAATTTTCACAATTTGTATTA